AAACATACTGCTGTGTATGAGTACTTAGTGAGTCAAGGCAGTTGTTGAATGTGCAGTTGACTACCTCTGACATTGTTACGTGGTGATTATATTACATCTTTCTAGTATTATATCACCTCACAGCACACTGATGTTTCAAAATACATACTCTGCATTCCAGCCAGACACCCTACCAAGCATTGCTCTGTTCCAATACTGTGTGCAGCTGGTGATACTTATTGTTTTGTAAGATCCCCTCTGGACGTGAAAAGTACTTAAAAAGTTTCAGCTACAACATAGTGTTATCAGCCTTCTTTAGCCTATACTCTGTTTTTCTTCGAGAGTGCCATTTTTCAATGCCCAGACAAGGTAGCACTGGTGAGTGCTAAAGTTCTCATAACAGTGAGTACAAACGGGCTGCTGCACACACAACCAAAGTCATGTGAATTCTTCAGAAACAGGATAAGACTCTTAAATGTTATTCACAACCTTACATTTTATTTTAAATAGATATGCACTTCCTAAGACTGTTGAAGTAACTGTAATGTTCCTGGCATCATGCTATTTTGTCATTGTTGCTGATGTGTCACTGAAGAAAACTAGAGGTTAGTGTGGAAAGTGCAAAGCTGTGTGCTTCAGGTGAGCTCTTTTCCATTCCCCATTCTCAGGAGCTTGGTCCAAGGCTTCTGAACTATCCCTTAGGTTCTCTGCCTAGGTTTCTTACACTAACAAGGGTAATGAGGGTGGAGAGAGTAGGATAAAAAGAATGGCATTTTAATTATGATGGGGACTGATAAGTGCCAGACATGCTGTGGGTATTGTGGGAAGCTAGCTAGGATGTTGCAACAACAGGCCAGTAATTGCATATGCATACTTGCAGTTGGTTATTCCAGAGAGTATTTTTTTCCTCCCCCCCCTGCCCCCTTCTGGAAACTGAGTTGGAAATGTGCTGTTGCAGTGGGGTACCCTTGTTCACCAAATCATGACAACTAAAATTACTGTGAAATACAGAGCTCTGTTTCTCTTCTGCCTAGCTGGCAACTGTCATATGTGATGGAGAGATTTTATTGCATCATAATGGTGATGATTCTACACTTGGCTAGAAATCACCAGTGTGAGAACAGAACACATTCTTGCGATTAGTGTGCAGGTATGTGTATATCATTTCCATGGTTTCATTTCCAGCGAAGATAGCAATTTTTTTATTTATCCATACCAGTCTATGGGAAAATTAATCTTCAGTCTAGAAACTACAGATGTAAATCCTTAGCTTTTGTAACTCATTGTAAAACTACTAAAGTCCAATAGAACTATGTCAGTCTAACCATTCATATCAGCAGGGTGGCCCATTAACACAATATATAGTATTCAGAGAGTCTTGAAAATGGGGGGCTATCTAAAAAGTTTTTGAAAATTGGTGCATTTAAAACATTGCAATAAAAGAATAAAAATAGAACTGGTTAACTCTGAGCCGTTGGAACTGACATTTTATGTTATTTGATTCTCAAATAAGTTACACTTTCTTTCTCGTTGAGTCCTGTGACAATATCTTGTTTCGCTATATGACTCAGTCTTGAAGGAACTACTAGAATGGAAAGTGCCAAGCCAAAAATGGAGCACGAGCCATTTTATAGGAGCATGAGATCTTCAGATAAATCAGCTCAGGAAAGCTGAACCACAAAATGACTTGGCTTTTAGTGCAAGGGTTTGTCAATACATCATACAATCTTATCCCCAATTGAGAACCATTTGTGTCTGGAAGAAGGAAGAATATAGATCAGATAATCCCCACATAGCAGACCCCTGAGCAATGGGCTGGCAGCTGTTTGTAGGCGGTATGTCCACAGATCCAATAATGGCCCTTTTTGGCTTTAGCACTGGTGGCAAATGACCCTGCTGCACTCTTTGGGAATTGGAAATACATTGTATTGTCATCACCCAGTGGGCTAAAAAAGGTGGTTGGGTTATTTGTTCGGCTGGTGCAATACCAGGCACCAAAATTGTTCTTCCATTCACAGGTTTGATTATAGATGTGGTCCTCCAATCGTCGGAAAATTAATGTTTCATTCTTGTTTCACCAATACCCCTTAAACCCTCAACTGTGCCTGGCATTATCCAGCCCTATCCGTATGTGGACTCCCCTGTTTTTGTCTACCAACTTATTTGTAAGTGTCCACTGATATTTGCTTTCCCCTACATAAACCCCTCCCCCCGGGTGCGATTTAGACAGTATCGCCCCACAGTAGGAAACTGAATTGGCCATGTTCCACTATCATCCCAAGTTATGTTGGCAGTTTCACTGTAGTTGCTTACAACTTGTGCAGGAGTGAGGGGTGTAGAGGTCCATGGCCGGCTTGGCAGCCCTAGAGGTCCCCCACAAACCCAACAGTGGTTCAGGTTAAAAGCTTGACTCACAGCTTTTGCTAATAATACGAATTCATTATCTTTAAAAGGATCATATGGGTCGGGAGGTGGTGGGGGAATTGTTTTCCCGTCGCCCTTATAGATGAGTCCCCAAAATAGCATAATTAAAAATGGCATATACATTTAAATTATGTTAAAACTGGCATCTGCTTCACCTCTTCTGGGGGCATGTCTGGGTCGGTTGCTCCTCTCCCCCTGGAAAATAAAATGAAAGACAAACTTCCTTCTCGAGTTAGATAGGGGGAGCCATTCATTTAGTGCGGGTCTCATGAGTTTTCCCCTTTTTTGGTTAACATTCAGGGAGCCGAAGCTTCTCCAGGGACTAAGGGTGAGGAGAATGGTTGCCCAAAGCAATTTCTTCGATGGTATGCTATGCATCCTAGGAAGATTAATAAGCTAATAAGCATCAGTATTATACAAAAAATCAGAATCCACATGAGGGTCCTCAGTTGTAGATCAGAGTACTATTATTCTTTTTTTTCCAAGGTTTGCCTACGAAAAAAAAGAAAACATCCTCGGTTCGGTCAGGGAACCAGAGGTAAAAGTTACTATTAAAAAGATGGGACAATCCATTGTGTATTGATTTTATGCTCCTTTCCGTGAGCATCCTTTGCCTTCCAGGTATATTTGTTCAACGGGGTTTCAAGCACTAATGGGACATTTCCCACAGTGGGAAGGTCCACTAAAACAGGTTGGCTGGGAAGATGGGATGAGTTTTTAGGGTAATCAGGATTATGTGGGGCTGGTACGGTCGTGGGAGCTTTTGGACAAAATGCTGTGATTTTTGGACACCTGTTTGTTCCCCAGTGGTTGTTAACGCTGGTCACTGCATCCCACACCTGCTTAGCTCACCCTGGCTTGTGTGGTTTGAGCAATTGTTTTAGTAGGCCATTTGTTCTTTCTACAATTCCGTTTGCTTGTGGGCAATATGGAGTGTGGAACACCCACAAAATTTCCTCTTGGGCTGCCCACTCTTGGACCACCTTGGCTGTGAAATGTGACCTGTTGTCTGATTGAATTGATCGTGATTTGGGGAAGATTCCAAACCATTCTTTCAGAGCTTTTACTGTGTTTTCTCCCGTTGCCTTCGCACACGCTTTAGCTTGCATTAGTCCGGATACTATTCCCATGCCTACTAATATGTAACTTTTCCCCTTTGACCTTTGAAAAGGACCAATATAATCAACTTGCCAGGCCTCCCATAGGAGGCCTCTCTTAAATGCAAGGGGTTACTCCCTAGGGGGTGCCTGTCCAGGTGGACACAGCACTGCTCACAGGCTGAAAAGCAAGTTTTGCAGTTTTCTTGGGTAACTGGCCAGCTTCTGGCCTGAGCCTCTTGGTAGAGGTCTTGGGCTCCAGTGTGCCCTCTCTTAAGGTGCAACCATTCCAGGAGTCGTTCCCAATCCTCTGCTACTGGATTGCTTTGGAAGGGGGCGAGGTGAGCCAGCTCGTCAACCCTATTGTTCCAATGACCGGACGGATTTTCCTCTGTCTGATGGGAGGCTACCCACCCTACCGCAAAGTTCCCCTGTTTGGCAATGGTTAAAATATCTTGCCACTTTTTGTTTTGCCATATGGGTGTTCTGTTAACCTCCCACCCATTTGGTTCCTAAAAGGGGAGCCACTCTTACACTCTTTAAAGACAGCAAAGGAGTTGGTGTAGATATAGATTGGAGAGGCAGATTGGGCTTCATGTTGAAAAACACTCCATATAGCCGCTAATTTCCCTACTTGTACGCTGCCTTCCCTTTCGATAATTATTTTTTGGTCAGTCCTTATCTGTAGGGCAACAGCACGGTATTTCCAAGTTCTGCCCTCTCGTTTAGCGGAGATGTCAGTGAACCAAGTGTTCTGTAATTATTCTGAAAATGTTGGGGCTATTTGCACAGCAGAAGGGGGCGCTTCACCTTCCTGGTCTGGGGCCACTCCCTCTTGGATTACTAAATTTTTGGTAGCACCCTCAGAAACTTCAAAGATACCACAATAATGTTCTATTTGCGCGTACCATTTCCGTACCGAGGCTCTTTGTGCCACCCTGTCAGGGGGAGGTGTCCCAGTTAAAACTGGTTTAATAACTTTGAAAGGACCTCTGAGCACTATTGGTTGCTGGCGAAAGGTGCACTCTGCTTCTCATAAGGCCAGGCTGACTACAAACAGCCCCTTCTCCCACATGGTGTACCATTTTTCTGCGTCCTTGAAACTATGGGAATAAAAACCAATGGGCCGGATGGGCCCTGCTGGCCCCCTTTGCCACAAATGAATTGACAGCCCAGTCGCGGCAAACCCCTACTCGATCTGTACCGGGTCTGTCGGGTGAATGGCCCCAAGGGTTTGGTAAGCATTTGCTTCAAATACCAGAAGCTGCAAAGCTTCATCATGGACCTGGGTCCATTCCTACTGAGCCCTCTTTCATAGTAGATCGTACAGGGGCCTGGCAATAATTGAGAAGTCAGGGATGTGCTTCCTCCAGAACACGAGTAGCCCTAACGCATGCTGTAAGTCTTTCTCTGATTCTGGTATCTTAATTTGGTCGAGGGAGGAAAGGGTGCCCGGTGGGATACATGTCATTCCTCCCACCAAATTCCTAAAAATTTCACCTCGCTTGAAGGGGTTTGTATTTTCTCGGGTGGGATTGTCAATCCTATGCTCTCTAAATGGGTGATGATGTCCTTCTGGACTTCCCCAACCTCTTCCGCCTGATTCCCCCCTATGAGCACATCATCTATATATTGGTAAATTTTCACCCCTGCCCTTATGGGAATTGCTTCCAGCTCCTGCGCATGGTGGGCTAAGGGGGGGGAGTGCTTGTATCCCTGAGGGAGCCGTGTAAAGGTGTACCGTTGCCGCCCCCAGGTAAAGGCAAAGTGGTCCAGGTCCTGCGGCTGCAGGGGGACCATAAAGAACATGTCTTTAACGTCAGTAGTTGCCATAGTAGGGTGTGCTTGCTCGTGAACGGCAGCTATGAGCTCGGCGGTGTTCGGGACAGCGGCTGTTAATGGGCTGGTGTTGGCATTCAGCCTCCGGTCATCTACTGTCAACCTTCATTTGCCGTTTGGTTTTTGCACCGGCCATACCGGGGAGTTAAAGGGGGAGGGAGTGGGAACTATAATTCCCTGCCCCTTTCAGTCCTCCAGCACTGGCGCGATTCCGTCCCTGGTGCCTTTTGCAACAGGCGCACCTCCACGCCGGGGGCTTCGGCCAACCGCCCGATCTGGGGGACGCCGAAAGACCGCGCATTTCCCTGGGCATCGCGCCACTGTCTGCCCTTTAAACCGTCTATGCCCGAGAGATTTATTTGAAAAGATCCTATGGCCACCATAGCATTAACAGGGCCGTCCTCCCCTGGTGACCATAGTGACGCTGGGGTCATAGGTACCAATTGTGTCTTTCCCAGAGCATTTAAAACAATCAGGTTTCTAGAGGGTACCGAGATCCCGCATCGTTCCGCTTCTGTTCGCCTCAGTGCGGTAATTTGCACCCCCGTGTCGATTAAAAAGGTTACCGGTGTTTTCTTCGGTCCTACCGCTACCGTGAGCGGCAAGTCTCCCTTTGCATTGCAGGTGAGCTGTCTTACGGACATCCACCCTCCGCCCTCCCCCTCACCTTCAGGGGACGGAGGTTTTACTTCTCCGCCGTCTTTTCTCCCCCCGGCTGGTTTCTCCCCAGAGTTTATCAGGGGTGGGGTGCTAGGAGTTGGCCTCGAAATGGCCCCTTGCTCTGATCATCTCCGCACAAGCTGCTCCAGTTTCTTGGTGGGGAGCCCGTCCATTAAATCTCAGGGAACGCCTCTCTGGAGCCCCCGCTGCC